CACAATTTCTATCTTCTCAGTGTTAGATATTTCAACTACAGAATTACAAAAGGTTTTTTTGGGTTTATTTTTTTTTTTTTTTTACATCTAGCAAATTGGTATGAAACTACCGCATTCTATGATTTTGTGCAAAGCCAGGAGAGGTTTATATCTATTTTGCACTGGATGCAGATATGCTGATCAAAATTCTTATCATCAGCACAACTTCCCGAAGCTGTAGGTCTGATACCAGCAACTCATTACAGTGCATTCTTTTGGAGTTTGATAAACATGAAATAAATCCTTGCATTTACCCTAAAACATATCCTTGTTTATGATTTTCTGAGCATCAGATTTCAGTCTTAAGCCCTATAGTTGAATGCCACAAACTTAAATTCAGATTTCTTTACCCACTCTTATCTGTTTTGACCAGTGAATTAGCATACTGGCAGAATCCAAAGTTTGGGGTTTTGTTTTGTTTTGTTTTGTTTTGAACATCCTTTAACAAGGGTGTTTCAGGATCCAGACTAAAAATTCTGATTGATTTGGCACAATGACAGATCCTGACTACTCTTTTTTCCTCCCTCCATGTCACAGAATCTGTCTTTCATGACTTGTCAAGCAGTCTCTGATTAATTTGGCCTGGTGGTTCATGGGGCAGAATCCAGCCTATTTCTTTTGCTTTTCCCAGGATGTTTTTGACAATTCACTGTGCACACTCCAGTACCCTGGCACTGCTCAGTGGCACAGCCCAGGGTCTTGCTCCTCGTCCATGGCTGGGCACCCACGCTCAGCTCGATTCTGCTGTGAACATTTCTAACTGATATGTAACCCCCCCCTGCTTGTTAAGATATCTGCAAAATATTTTCCTATGAACCATTTTGATGTTGCCTTGTTTGYCTAATGGAGGATGCACCCTGGAAGTGAAAAGGCAGCTCAGTAGATTATCAGTATTTAGCACAAGGCGACCCCATACTGCTGCACTTGTGGTCAACGCTGATGAAGGGAGTGATTTTGACAGGAAAACTAATATTGAAATTACATGGGCACGTGACTGTGTGCATGACTTCAAAGAATAAAGAATTCAGAGAAATGGAAAGATCTGTTTTATCTGTTTATCTAGCCTTTTCCCCCCAAATGCATTACAGTCATAACGCAGGAAAAGTAGAAGATGGCAAACTTGATTGTGCTCTAGATTTCAGTCAACCATGGAAAACTGGAATTTGCCAAGTCTTCCCTATTCAACCGCATCTGTACATACAATGAGAACAGAATTGTCCTTTTTCCTCCCACCTGAATTTGGGAACAATTCCCAGACCTCTGAATTGGTCAGTGAAATTGATGTGTCTGGTAAGGGTCAGTGGAATCTTCCAGATTCCTTAACTGCTTATCCAATCAGCAACAGAGAAGTATCTTAGAGCCTGTCAAAATGAAAGAATGTTTAAAATGAGGGAACACCACTGAGGACCACCACACACTCAGTTTTCAGGAAATCACTGTCATTAATAGCTCTGGTATTTGRAGGCCTTATTCAAATCTTCATTGACCTACATTGCTCCCACCCCAGCATTTTCCTGTGAAAGCAAAAGGCTTGATATTAGTATAGKTATTTTATTTTCTTTCTTCAGCTCAGGCTGTTAGAAGTTTCCTGTACTTTGTGCCATCTCAAGAAAACTTGGCTAGGAGTGTTACAGCACACGGGTTTCAGGTCTTGGCTGGTGTTAGCCACCATAATCTGGTATCAAAAGGCTATTTTAAATACAGCCAAGCAAATGGCATAACCCATCAACTCATCCCACTGCCCCAAGTGGAACAGAAGATGAGTGAGCCTTTGAAGTGAAAGGTGAGCAAACCTACTGTACTGCTGTATGATCTCTAACCCATTTCCCTTTCCTGCCATGAAAGAGCTCTCTGAAGTTCATCTGCTTCACTTCCCCGGTCTTTGCTTAACGCACAACAACTATTTCTCTGTTTTGACCTTCCAAAACAAACATATTTTCTTTTTTAAGAAAGGGAAGGAGTAGCAAAATTCATTTCCCTTCCTGAATTTTATGTCCAGGGGGTGGTCTGCAGCAATGTTCCCCTTGGGCATGGGTTATTCCGCATGGCTGATGTCACCCCGCAGATGATTCAGGCTTCCKACCCTGAATCTCCATAAAAGCTTATCTTTCCCCACTGACTTCAGGGGGAACCAGCAGTAATCAGGATCCTGATCAAGGTGATTCAGTGACTGAGAAACCCAAGGGAGCTGAATCATACCCCGAGGGTTACTGAGTAGATTATGAACACATTGCTGCTTTTTAGGATTCAGCCTTGTATTTTCTCTCAAGCAAGTTGAGCCAGGGTTGAATGCAGTGTTCTTTTTTTCTGATATCCAGGCAGTTTACTCATGGCCCCAGAACATGAAATACAAAAACAAAAACAAAAAAAAATTAAAGGAAAACTCTTCCAAATACCCCCCCTTCCCAAACAAACTAAGGCCTCAGTCCTGTGCTGTGAACGATCTCTCTTTTGAAATGCAATTTTCCAAATGAGATTTTGATAAATTATGATTCTGCCATGCATGTAAATAATAATCCACATTGTTTTAACATTCTTTCACAGTCTTCTTGCTCTGGTTCTGCAGCATGCAGTGTTTCAGGGCAATACACTGTGTCTTCTTTAAAGCAGGAGGGCTTGACAGTTATTTGAGAATGGATATAATAATATGAATTGTATAAGCATGTACAGGAGCATTTAAAACTAGCAGCATCTGAATATAACTTTGCAAAGTTAAATTACTGTAATGTCAGGAGGATAAGAAATGTGTTCAGTGTTATGAAAAGAACAGATATCCTTGTGCCATACACAGTCCTTATCATTTTAATGGCATATAACAATGTTTTGCTGTGAGACAAGCRATCAAATTTTTTTTTAATGTAAATAACCTTGTCTTAAATCTATTCCACTCTGATCACTGTGTGGCTGTAAAAAAAAACCGCAGTGCAGCATAATTTTTAAATGGTTTTCAGTCTAGTGGAATAGGTGTCAGTTGTGGGTGTCTTTCAGATGCTGGGGGTTTTCATCTGAGCAAAGGAGATCAATGCACAGAACAGGAAGGAAAAGTCATTGCAAGAGTCTTTGAGAAGTTTTAGGCTTCTCTTCCCCTCCCAGCCCTTTCACTCCCCTGTGATCTTAAAAACAAACTGTTGCCCTTGGCAGCACTGTTTTTGTTACAGAGGATTTCTCCACGTATCAGAGCTCTTTGAGGTCTTCCTCCAAAGCTCTCTGAAACCCTTGTAAAAGGGGTTCTGTTTGTTTTTTAATTTTTTTTTCAGACAGCCATCTATATGTCCTCAACCCTGAGCAGTCCTCAGAGTCCTTCTGCTGTTTACTTGAAAGTTTTGCTCATTCCAGCCTTTTTCTGCGGCCAGGACGGTTGGGTTGAAGAGATATAGAAATCACATRTCCTGAGGCTGTGCTTGTACCACAGAAACTGCAGGTTTCGCTCTATCCAAAACCAGAACAGCTTTTTGAGAGAAGAAAGTATCATCCCACCACAGGTCTTAGTAAGAGAAGCTCAAATCTAATGYGACATATCATTTGATATGGATGATTTCTGTCAGCTTTTATCAGGGCATATGAGACCAGATTTCAACCACTGGTGTCTCCTGGGGTTTATTGTGAAAATAAATAATAATTTGGTTTTATTGTGATAATACTGAGAAATTTGCTAGGAACCAGCAACTCACACTAAAATACTGAGGGTCTCAGAGAGGTTACAGCCTGAATTGACCAGGCAGGTGAAGGAGGGGAGGGGAAATAGATAGAAAAATAGGTAAAATTACCACCCTGCACAATAGGTCCATAGAAGATGGATAGAACAACAGGAAATGGCCTCAAGTTGTGTCAGTGGTTTAGATTAGACRTTAGGAAAAGTTTCTTCCCCATAAGAATTACCAAGCATTGGAATAGGTCCCCAGGGGAYTGTTAGGGTCATGRTCCCTGGAGCTGTTCAAAAAACAGGTAAATGTGGCACTTAGGAACATGGAACACTTGGAAGTAGTAGGTTAATGGTGTGATTCGATCTTAGAGGCATTTTCCAACCCAAACAATTATGTGATTCTACGATTCTAAGATGTGGAACTGGCACTCAGATCTCTCAGCTGCCGTCATTTTCATTTCATTACTCTCCAGACTGAAGTTAACGCCTCCACTGCCAAATACAAGGCTGGACAGGAGGAACAAAATACTAAATGATATTTGTGATGTTTGGACTGTGAGACTGAGCATGGATTATGATAATCACTGATCCTGATTCCATTTCTCTGCCTGAGTGGGCTCAAATCTGCCCTTGTATCACCACGGCAGCACCGCCTCCGTGTCAGCGCGGTGCGAGCAACTGCTCCCCAGACCCAGCAAGTCATTCACATTAGCCCCAAAAATAAAACATCATCTTTAGTTTTCTTAGAAGAAACTCCTGAAGATAATGTGTGGAAGGCTTTCGTGACTACTCACAAAGGAGATTGACTGAATGCACGAATTTTCTTTTGAATGAAAACAACCCCTATCCAAATGTCAGTGAGYGTTTGCTTGACTCGATGTTCCCGAATCGTAATTTTGCAGTTTCAAATTCTTTGAAGCTCCATTTTTTTGCCCTTTTTGGGGCTAAGGTGGGAAACATTTTGACAGAGTTGTTCTCTAAGAACAAGTGTCTTTTCTGTTTTTTTATTTGTTTTGTTTCAGGTTTGGTTATAAAATGATTCATAACCATACTAACACCCACAGACAGTGTCTCTAAAAAATGATTTAAAGAAAATGTACTGCATTTTGCTCCTTTTTCCATTGTTCTCAAGAACTGCATTTGTTCTCATTTAGCTTCAACAAAGATCAGATTGAGCTGGAACTTGGGTAAGAGAGGTGATAAGTTTGCAGATAAAAATGCATCTCATCAGTCATGAATTGCACAAATTAATCTTCAGATAGGGGCATGTCATTCAAGAATTTACATGCTAGCACTTTAATTGTCAGAAGCTAGTTTCTATTAGGCAGATTGACTGAGAATGACTAACAGCATTTCCCATTAGTGGAGGGAAAAAGAAAAAATTAAGGTAAGTTCAAAAACATTAAGAAAATGCTTTAATAATATTGTTTGACTCAGCTTGTAATGAGAAAAAGAGCAAGACCTTAAGTGAATTAAGACCAAGTCTGCTTTGTTTAATAAATGCTTTCTCTCTGCTTAGAACAAAAGATRTGTGGAAAAAGACAGTGAATGAAAKATATATTATACAGGAAAAAGTGTGAGAAAAGGAAATATCTGTTAAAAGGAGTACTTTGAAAAGGGCTAAAAGAAGTTCTGTGAAAAACAGTGACAATCTTTTCCTTTTTTTTTTTTTATGTAATTTGATTTTTTTTTCTGACCAATGCCAGTAAAAAGTAGGGTTTTCTTTCCTGTAATAAAATGGACCAAAAGGGCCTGAGCTTTGTGAGTGGTTTGATTTGCATAGGGAAAGAACGCAGCTGCAGACACAAGCCACAAATTGGTTGCTGTTTTTGTGCTGTGGTCAGATATTTTGATGTTTCAGATCATAAATTGATCACTGTGTGGGTCTGGAAAATTCCAGGTCCACACCTTGGCCTGTCCTGGCAAAGTGCAGCCCTCCCTTCATGGGGAATGGGCTCTTTGGGCAGTGCTGGAGCAATCTCTGCTCAGCCCTGCTCAGCCCTAAACAAACATTAGGATATTAAAGATTCACCACAGGCTCAAATTTCTGAGAAGAAAAGGATTTGGGCCACATCCTCACTTGGAATAATCTTGTTTCCAAGAGCAGATACCASTGAACAGCACTTGTTTATGTCAAGTCATTGGATGTAATGCCTTCCACGAGCTTTTTTTATGTCATTAAGGGTTTGTTCAATTGCTAGACAAAGCTCTGCAGGTCATAATGGTGATAGCACTTTGTGCTATTGTTCTTTGCACTTATCATCTGAAAGCATTTTTAATGTATTTATTACGCTTAAAGAGAAATAAATTATGAGGGAGTAACCCAGAGGCAGCTCAAAATTATTACAACCTGTTGTTTTTGCAGGTGAATAAAGGAAAAAGATTCCTTTTTGCCTAAGGTTACTGTGAACCAGAAAAAAAAAAAAAAAAGAGGATTAAACTCAAGGTGATATGACTACTAATCTTTGGCTTTAATAACTGAACTGCAGCAGGTCCCACCTGGGCTCAGGGTCTTGCTTGTCATTTAGACAAGTAATTGAATAAAAGCTAAAGCAAAGAATCAATCCTCGTTCTTGTTACGTTTAGGGGGATTTCTTATCATGGATCTACATGTGACATAAAACCCTAATGAATCTCGTCAGCAGTGGGATATGTTCTAGATGTGTTTCCTGACCACAACAAAAAACCTTGGCCTTGATCTGTCAAAATAAAAGAATAAATACCTAAACACACAAAACTTGTTATTGAAAGAGACGGTTTGTTTATGTGTATTTAGTATTATATATACTTGTGCTTGCAGCAGCAGAGGCTCAGGACTTTACAATTAATTTGTCCCTCTCCTGCAATACTGTCCAGATACTCAGGGACAGAGGAGCTCTGCTCTTGTGCTTGGTTTAAAAATCATTTACATACGTACAGTGAATGTCACAGCATTTTATCTTAATATGTAAAATAACTGACTTTTGCCACCTTATCCCATGTGTTTATCTGATTGCTCTGATCATCTTAGTGTTCTGTACCATCTCTGGAAATACATGACAAACTCTCCGTTTTTGTTATAATTTCCTCTAAAAACCCCTGTGGCTAATCTGTAATTTACAGATTGCGTGCTGTTAACGTATTTTCTACTGCTCCTTTTTCTGCAGTTGTTAAGGGGCTTTTTGTTTTATTTTGTTTTTAATATTTGATGGATTTTTTTTGTTTATTTTTTGGTTTTGTTTCTTTTTTTTTTAAGAGAAGCACACAGATGACATTCCAATTTCCAATGCCTAATAACAATTTATGTCATAATTACAAGTGGTCCTGTATACCTTGGGCTGATGAGATATTTTGCCTCAGAAATATTTTCACATTGTCCCACAGAAAATATTTTTATACCAAACATACAGAATAATAACTCATCTTTGAAGAATAATGTCTAATTTTTGAAATAAGTCGCTAGGAACAACAAAACGTTTTTACTTAAATCCAGTGAAACTGCTATTTTTGTATGTTTTACTCTTCCCACTAGAAACACTGAATTTGAACAACTTTTGAACAATATTTAGTCTTGTTTTGAGAAAATAGAAAATTGCAAAATTGATTTGTTTTATATGCAAGGATTGGATTATATTCTCCTTCATTATTTTGAAATATGTAATCTTAATAGAGACTCTCAGGAGAGGTATATGCATGGATTGTCACTTTCTCTTTCAATATCTTTGCTTGATATCTCATAAAACTTCACAGTGTTATGGAACTGCATATAAATGTATGAAGAAAGGAACAAAAAAGTTCTAATCTTCCTGATTTATCACCAGTTTCAAAGCATTACTCTTACAAAACCCCCAAATTATCTTTTTTTTTTTTTTTATTTTTTTTATTTTAAGACAAGAAGCCAAATCCTCCTTCTTTCTTTTATTTCTGTCCTCCCTTATCTCCCTGCAGTTCTTACACGACCCTGCTAGGTAATTCTACTTTGTTTTAGGGAATATTGAGTGTTCATGGGAGTATCTTCTGGCCATGCCCTATAAGGATACCTACTCCCAAATTATTCTTCCAGTGTAGACTAAGAAGATAAATGAGTCTCTGACAGCTTAGTCAATGCCGAATATGTTTTTTTTAATTGAGTTTTAGAGGAAGTTGAATGGACCAAGTCCTGAAAGCAGCCATTTGCCTTTGCTGGCTGTTAAAGTGCACACAGGGGTACCAAAGCAGTGCCCCTGTTCATGTGCACACAGAGTCACATCCCCCCTCAACTCCTTCTTCCTGTCTTGGGTAGAGRTAAAGCTTATCAGACAGAAAGGCACTTCCATGCACCACCACTYTGTGCTGATGGGAGATTCTTGTGAGTAGGAACGTCATCACTTGTGGCCAGAGTGCTCTTCATGACATGAGAGCTGATTTGGCTGGTGGTTGATTTCAAACTTGTTTGGGTTTTTTTGTTTTTTTTTGCAGTGACTTCAGTGAGATTTAGATCAAACATCAAGCTCTTTGCTGTCCGTGATTTTTTGCTGAACGGGGAAAATCAGTCTCTTTAACATACAAAATGCGTAATTGGCAGAATTACATGCATGGCCAGGCTGGGAGGGAATTTGGTCAAACTGGTCTGGTGGAAGGTGTCCCTGTCCAYRKCAGRRARTTGGAACTGAATGATTTCTAASRTCCCTTCCAACCCAAACCATTCTATGGCTCTGTGATTTTCTGATTCTGTGGCTGAAGAGATACTAAAAGCTAACAGTTAGRATTAGCTCACAAAATGATGTTATGAACCTATGAGTAAACTTCCTGRACATCATAAAATAGAGAGTTAAACSAAATTTCCTAAGAAACATTCTTGAGTTATGGTATTTTGGGCCTTGCTTTGCATTTTTTAGTGAAAGGCACAGCAAAAATTTGTACTGCTGATCAGCAGAGAACACAAACTTCATCCATTGCTGAATAAGATACTGTTTGARCACTTGAGCATTTACAAGGAATGCAGAGGATCATTCCAGGATCATTCATGGTTCACATTGGTAGACATTTGGTAACTAACCAAAAAAATTGTGTTAGGAGTCATCCAAATCCTGTTGCAGCCAAGCTTGAAGTAGAATACATTCTGCAAAAGAGAACAGTTACAATTTTATCCTTTGTGTGTTTGATTCAAGCACACCAGCRTTATAAACCATGGGCTGATAAATGGAGCTCAAATATCGGTGAAAGAACAGAGTTTTCAACCATGCATAACACAGGAACAAATTGTTGAACTTACTCAATTCTAAAGGCCTTTTCCATAATTTTTGCTCATGCAAAAGACTCCTGAGGCAACAAGACAGCTTACCTGCCAGCCTTGACATTTCTATAACCAAAGCAATATTTCAGAAGCCTCGCGCCATAAATCTGATGTGGATTTGAATTTCCCGAAAGTAATAAATGATCCAATTAGAAAACAAACAAAAAGGTGAGAATAATTAYGCTGTTTATTCTTCCATGATGATAAGGTGAGCTTGACAAGACAGAATGCTTTTCCTAAACCCAGAGTTTCTCTSTGCTTGCAATTGATCTTAGGAGTTAAAGATTCTGTTTGCATTTTTAACGCTCTGAGGTAAAATGTATTGCCTTGATAGAGATGTTAAGGAGCAGTTTGCCTACAGTGTCTCTCACCCTTCATTTTCTATTCCTCTCACTTATTGCAGAATTTCAAAGGCATTTGGGGATATTTTATCTGTGTRGAAGTAAGTCTCACACTGCAATGATTTACAGTGGCGCAGCTTTTAAAATCCTTTCTCAACAGCTTTTCTCTGCATTTAATCATTCACAAATGCACTGTTAATTAATTACACAGATTATTTTTAATGAAAAAAGAATCGCCACAAAAAGAAGGCTGTTTTCCAGCTCTCTTTTTRTGTTTATAGGTGCAATCTGAACCAACAGCTGTTTTATTAGGCACCAAAGATTGCAATTCTTTGATTTTTAGATTTTCTGAGGACTAATTGTACATATTGAAAGAACCAAAGGTAGATTTGGTACATTTTCATTAGTGAATCCAATCCAAAACCAGCTGTGCTTCAATGAGTGTGGATAGAYGCTCTTTGTGGTAAAATTAGGACCCAGAACTCAGAAAACACTTTGCAWCTCTAAATAGTTTCTTATGGATAATCTGTAATGTAGATGATGTGTTTGCTGTTTGCTTGAGGTTTATATTTCAGGACACCTTCTCTCCATGCATGTCCTTTCATCTTAAAGCAGAAAATCATGTAATATTTTGAGTTGGAAGGAACATCTAAATATTATCTAATCTTTCCCTCTCTGTATGACAGTTTCCAAAGAGATGCCTAACTAGGCAGCTATGGCCAAGTCAGATGAATCCTTACTTTTGGGGGTATTAATAAAAAAGCTCAAAAAATTGTTTTTTTTGTAAAACAA